GTCAGACCTGATTTCCACTCCCCCCTTCTCTCTTTCTCTTTCTCTCTCTCTCTTCTCCCCCCTTTTTTTATTTCCGCATTTGTCATAAAATAAAGCAAATTATTCCCATCTTCAGAAACGATCTAGACTAATTAGTCGTCTAACCCAATAATTAGTTTTTTGTTTCCCTGTCTGTTTTCTTACATTATTGTTAGCTTTCTCCTTCCCTACCCTGGGTTTGTTGTTGCTGTTGTGTTGTTTTTCCCCACCCCACCCCATTACGGATTAAAATGAGCCACATTTGCAGTTGATGGTGTACGTTTCCCCCACTATGTTCGTTTTGTGTGTGAGTTTTTTTGCGGATTTATTTTTATTTTTTTTGACGGAATGGGGGAATTGCAATAGAAAAGCTACTTCAAAAGCAGCAATAAACCCAAAGATAAATTAAGGAAATTGAATGAGCCACATTTGGAAAAAGTGTCAGGGAAGGCTAATACGCCCGTCGCTTAAGGTTAAATTGCGGCAGTGAAGAGAGAATGTGGCTCCCACCCCAGTGAATCCAAAATTTGAGACGCGCCGCGCATATTTGCCAAAATGCTTTCGCAAGGCGGCTTCCAGGGAGTTCTGTTGGGGATTCTGGGTTTTTAGTTGGGAAGCTTCTTGGTCTGGAGGGCCACATTGTACCCCCACTGTCAGAGGCATGCTATCCTTGAATATCCGTTACTGAGAAACACAAGTGGGGAGATTGCCGCTGTGCTCAGGTCCTGTTTGCAGGCTTCCCAGAAGAGGCACCTGGTTTGTCACTGCAAGAACAGGATGCTGGACTAGGTGGGCTTTCTCTAACTCATGGGTAGGCAAACTAAGGCCCAGGGGCCAGATCCAGCCCAATCGCCTTCTAAATCCAGCCCGCAGATGGTCCGGGAATCAGTGTGATTTTACATGTGTAGAATGTGTCCTTTTATTTAAAATGCATCTCTGGGTTATTTGTGGGGCCTGCCTGGTGTTTTTACATGAGTAGAATGTGTGCTTTTATTTAAAATGCACCTCTGGGTTATTTGTGGGGCATAGGAATTCGTTCATTCCCCCCCTCCAAAATATAGTCTGGTTTGAGGGACAGTGAACCGGCCCGCTGCTGAAAAAGTTTGCTGATCCCTGTACAGTGCTCTTCCAATGTTCACACAGTGCATAGTTAAAACATGGAATTCGCTTCTATCAATGGCCACAAGCCACCATGGCTAGTATCACAAGTGGGGGAAATGGCTGTTGTGCTTGGGCCTTCCCATAAGCATCATCTTGACCACTGTAAGAACAGGATGGGCTTTGGGCCTGATCCAGCAGGGCTTTTCCTATGCTCTTACAGGCCTGCAACCCCCACTTACACCTGTCTTTATTAACTGGGACCAGTCCGTATTTGTTTGGTTCCTGTCCTAGTTCAATATCTATTTCTTTTGGAGGAAATCCTAATTCGAACGTTGCTCATTCGAGGACTTAACCTGACGTGGTATTTGCCATGTGGTCTGATCCTGCGTGAGGAGAGCCTGGCTGCCAAAATAGTCCAAAGAACCACCATCCTGTTCTTACACTGGCCCACCCAGACATCACTCTCTCCATTTACAATTCCCAGCAACTGGTATTGCCACTGAGAGTGTGGGGAGAGTTAGTAGCTGAGAAATGTATTGTGACGATTGAAAAGCGGAACAAGGAGGTGTGACGGAGATGGAAGAAGGACAACGGTACCTAACTTGAATCGAAGGGAACTTCCTTTCCAGAGGGGTTTGCAAACGGCAGCCATTCATCGCTGGCCTCGCTGGCGTTTTCCCTGGCATCTCTGACTTGAAGAACAAGCACCCTCATGGCTTTTAAAAAAGGGTGTGGTACAGACCGCACCTCCTTCTAGTTTCATCTCCATCCTCCTCCTCCTCCTCCCTGTTGAGACTGAAGAGGAGGAAGCTGGCAGGTAGGACCACCTCCTGGGCTGGTTGTAGGTTAAAAAGGCAGACAGGTGGGGACTGGCTCAAGGCAGACTGAGGTTGCTGGGGCAGATCATCCAAATGGACCGGTATTAAATGACTCTCCTCTTCTTTCAAGGGCTGACGGATGAAGAAATTGACCTGGCCTTCCAGCAGTCAGGTACTGCCAAAGAGGAGCCTCAGCCCCATAGCCTTTCCACGCAGTTGGTGCCGATTCAGCCACCTCATCTTGCCCCACACAGTAAGTAGCCCCATGGCAGCCACCAGACTGTTTTATTTCCACATCTCGGTCTTGTCTTCTTTCTCAGGGCTGGGAAACAGGCAGCGTTTTGCTTAAGTGTTTCTGGTTTTTATCTCGCTTTTGTTTTTCTCGGGCGCTAGCCCCCACAATGGTGGAAACATTTGACTGTAGGATGGCAATGCATTAAGGGTTGAATACAAGGAGGCAATATAACAGTGGGAGTTTGGGTTTTTTTTAAAAAAATATCATTCCTAAAAGAGCAGCTTCCCATCCCAAATCGATACGTATTATACATAATATGTATATAAAATATGTATTTTAAATAATACCTTTGCAATTTTGGGTTGTGTACAACCGTTAGGCTAAAATTTAACAAATCAGTCATGTCCATTAATGTCAGTGGGCCTACTTTGAGTAAATCCCTTCTCCAGGATACCCCCCCCAGGCCACACCCCATCCCTGCCTCTGTTTCTTGCTTGCCTGGATGGAGGATTGAGGGTTGAGGGAATCTGTGAGTATGTGTAGAAACTAGTCTACTGTACAGAGGTGAAATTTACATGCACAGTCCCAGTCATGTTTACCTCTGCTCCTGCTTACCAGTGGCATGTGGCCCTAGGAAGGTTGCCCAGAAGAGAATGTGGCCCTCAGGCTGTGCGGGGGGACAGGGGACACAGTCCCCCCCCCCTTGTTTGGATCCATTTCTTCATTGAAGCTTACCTGCCATCTTGCCCGTTTCTACCCCCTATAATTTCACCTGCCACTTCCTTTCATTTCTGCGCTTGAGGTTGCTGCCGGTTCCTGACGCCAGGCTAGTACGATCCCAGCCTCTAATAAAGATTTAACACCAGCAATCTACTAGCACCTATTAGTCCCAATAAAGATATTGCAGAGTGAACGGCAACTTGTCCGCTCGCTGTGGTTTTGGCTCCCATCCTCACTCGTGAAAATGACAAGGAAATTAATTAATCTCCATGCAACAACTCAAACGTGCAATTAAGCCGCGGCCCTTCGGCTCGAGATGTAATTCTCATCTTGCTCTCCGACTGGCTCCAGAGGTTATCCTGAAGTACGGAAAGTGCATAAGGACATCAGAAGAGCCCTTCTGGATCAGGCCAAAGGCCCATCTAGTCCATCGCCCTGTTTTTTCATAGCTCCAGGAAGCCCACAGGCAGAGCAAGAAGAAAGCTTGCAGCCTTTGGGACTTTTTAGTTCAGAGAAAAGACGAGTGATAGGTGACATAATAGAAGTTTATGAATTGATGCGTGGCCTGGGTAAAACGGGATTGAGAAAAGTTTTTTCTCCCTCCTTCATAACACTAGAACTTGCAGCCACCCAATGCAGCTGAATGTTGGAAGATTCGGTACAGGTGAAAGGAAGTCCTTCTTCACTCAACGCCTAGTTAAACTTTGGAACTCACTCCCACAGGAGGCAGTGATGGCAAGCAGCCTTGGTGTCTTTGTAAAGGGTTACACAAATTCATGGAGAGAAGGGCTATTGATGACTACTAGCCATACTGTCACTTTTCTCAGTTCCTTATTTTAAAGTCCCAATTCCTTAATGCTGATGCTAAGCCTTTAACCACAGAAGAGAACCAGTCAGTTCTCTTCTTCCTTGCTGATTGAGTTCACTAGCATGTACAAGTGTGTGTGTGTGTGTGTGTGTGTGTGTGTGAGAGAGAGAGAGAGAGAGAGAAAATCTTCCCATCTGTATTTTTGCCAAGAAGTGTCAAAAACTGCTTCTTTTTTAAAAAAAACAACAACTCAACACACATACACACACATACACCCCACAAGCCACCAACTCCTTGATTTTGATTAATATAGAGAAACAAGACTTGGGTTGACTGATAATAAAACTGATAAATGACATCTGAATTACTTGTAGCTGTAATTTATTACATAAAATATCTTTTATTTGACATGCGATTAGTTGCTGGAAGCATCACTCAATCTGACTAGTTTGAACGCGCTCCCAAAATGAACCCCCCAACTTGGAAGGGAAATAAAGGAGGCAGAGTGGGAACACTGGTGCTGTCTGCCGTTGGCATTTATGAAATACTCTAATCCAGAAGTGAGGAGAAATCTGACTCTAAGTGTTTAAATGATTGATAGGGTTTATATATACCTCCCCTAATTTCCTTCATTACATACAAATTCCGGGGAGTTCCTGAGCTAAGGTGTGCAAGGAGTGTTTGCATTGCGCGGGCGTTGTCAGCATCCCATAATATTTACAACCCTTGTCGGTGGGTGTTCGTGTGCTGGTTTTGCACCTGGTTTTTTTTTAAGAACTCCACCGTCTTTCGTACAAGGGCTGTTGGTTCCTGCTCTCCTTACCCTTGGATGTTAAGGCAGCCACTCAAGTAGGCCTCCTGTGGCAAGTTAAGGGCTGCCTCCAAGCGATCGCTCAAAGAAGTGTCACAGAAATCTGCTTTCTCTGCTTCCAGGCCACAAACGACCAACGTGGGCATTTGTTGGCTGACAAAACTTTTTGGAAGGCTGCTTGAGAGATGGGGCAGTGGCCGGTAACAGAGATTGTTTTTAAAGGGGGATTGCGCAAGGCCACATGAGAGAAGAGGTCTGTGGATAGCTCTTACCATGATAGCTCCACAGAACCTCAGCGTTCAAAGGCAGTCTACCTCAGGATGCCAATTGCTGGAGGCCACCCAGTTGCCCTTATGTACTCCTTGGCTGACTTTCCAGGTGTGTTTTTATATGTTCTGGAAGACGCTCAGATGGGCGGGGTAATAATAATAATAATGATGATGATGATGATGATAAAATTCTGGGGAATAGGGCTCTCAGCTGGATGCTGCTGCTGAATAGCTCAGTTGGTTAGAGCGTTGTGCTTATAACATCAAAGTCACAGGCTTGATCCCCATATGGGACAGCTGCATATTCCTGCATTTCAGGGGGTTGGACTAGATGATCCTCAGTGTCTCTTCCAACTCTACAATTCTATGACTGTTCTGTAGGGCCCTGCTTGGGTAGTTATTTATGTGACACTTTAGACCTAGCTTAGTATTTTCTATGTGACAGATTATTATATAGAAAGGGAGATTGCTGGCCTCCCCGTTAAATATTTTGCAGGCCTTGAGGGGTTCCTTACCAATGCATTCAGAAGAGCTCCGCTGGATCAGGCCAAAGGCTCATTTAGTCCAGCATCCTGCTCTCACAGTTGTCTTACTCTTATTACAGAAAGTGGTAGGTTTTCCCACACAGATCCTACTCCTTCTCCTCAAAGCTGAAGGAACTGTGCAATAAGTCTGCCAAAGTTACTAGTCCACAGGGTTGGGTCCTGGCTCACAGAGTCCCTTTTCACTGTCGCATCAGGGGAGCTGGTGCAGAATGTGGGGTGTTTTCTTCCTCCTCTCCTTCTTCTTCTCCTTCCCTTTCCCCTTCCCCTCTCTTCAATTGCTTCTTTTCCCCTTTTCCTCAGTGCCTTTTATTTTTCGCCACAAGACAGAATTGTTCCACACACCCCTAAAACGAGTAAAATGGCATTTCAGCTCCTCGTCTTTATAGACTCTCTGAACTTTCCGAAAGATCATCTCGGTCCCTTTTCATTAATAATGAAAACCAGGGGGCAATAAAATGTTCTTAGCACGAACATTACAGGGACAGAGGGAGAGATGACAGAGGTCAAAGGCCGCAGATGATGGAGTTGCTATGAGGGGGGGGGACTTAGGGAGACCTACAGGTGTCTTCGGAGTCTTCCTGGAGGTCAAAGAAGGAGTGGGACACTGGGGCCTGGGCAAAGATCGTGGCAACTATTCCGACATGGTTCATAAGAAGACAGTAACTCCGTAAGAGTGGGGATTTTATTTGCAAGATTTTGAGTTGCTTCTCCTATACAGTGGTATCTCGGGTTAAGAACTTAATTCATTCTGGACGTCCGTTCTTAACCTGAGACTGTTCTTAACCTGAGGTACCACTTTAGCTAATGGGGCATCTCGCTGCCGCCACACCGCTGCCGCTCAATTTCTGTTCTCATCCTGAAGCAAAGTTCTTAACCCGGGGTACTATTTCTGGGTTAGCGGAGTCTGTAACCTGAAGCGTCTGTAAACAGAGGTACCACTGTACAGAGTAAACCCATTGAAGCGAATGGACCTAAGTGACTAATGATCTTGAACGTTAGCGGGTCTGCTCTGAGTTGGAGACAACGCATTGAGTGCATCTATTGTGTAGATTCATTTGGAGTTGAGATTGAAAAATCCAGAGCCAGGACTGGCAGTTACGTTTTCTGAGCCAAGTGAACTCTGGGAACTGTAACTCTGTGATGGGAATAGGGGCATCCTAACAAATCTCAGCATCCTTAACAAACTACAGCTCCCAGAATCCTTTAGGGGGAGCCCTGACTGTTTAAGGAGGTGTGATGGCACTTTAAATGTGTGGTGCTGATGTGGTTATATATTTGGAATGTATCACTGGCCAAATGTAATACATACTCTCAACCTGAAGCTTTGCAGTATATCCCTGGTTAGACAATTTTACAATTGCTTCTCTGGGGAATTACTCCATATTTACTGGAGGCTCTTCCTCAGGGATGGGGAACCTGTAGCCTTCCAGATCTTGTCGGACTTCAACTCCTATCTGTTCTGACCGTTGGCCATGCTAGCTGAAGGCTGATGGGAAGCAGAGTTTGACCGTGTCTGGAGGGTCCTAAGTTCCCCATCTCTATCCTGTGCCTGGATAAGGAGCGCAGCAGGGAATACCACAAAACCCTGCCCATTCCTCCTCACTCTTACCTTTTTCGCTTCTGCCCTCCAGGTCCCCCCGGTTCCAGATGGCGGGATTACGGCGCTCTAGCGATTATCATGGCAGGCATCGCTTTCGGCTTCCACCAGCTCTACAAGGTAAGGGATTACCTTCTGACTTTTGTCAAGGCCACGGGATACAACCTCCGTAGCTATGTGGACAGAGCATCTGCTTTGCATGCAGGGAGGTCCCAGGTTTCAGCTCCCAATGGCGTCAGCAGGTAGGACTGGGAGAAAACCCCCCGCCTAAAATCCTGGACTATTGCTACCAGTCAGTGTGGACAATGCAGAGCAAGGTGCACCAGTGATCTGACTCAGTGTAAGGCAGCTTCCTATGTCTTTAGGCAGTGGTTCTCAAAAATTTTCTCTGGGCCGCAGTTTCAGAATAAAAATTTGCTCGCGCCACTCTGATTTCTTTTTATGGAAAAGAAGTACACTGGAAAACAAAAAGGAACAACTATCAGTGCTTGATTTATAACCTAGAACGCAACTACTTTATAAATAACAACAACAACAGTAATAATAATAATAATTTATTATTTATACCCCGCCCGTCTGGCTGTGTTTCCCCAACCACTCTGGGCAGCTTCCAACAGAATGTTAAAAATGTAATAAAACATCAAACATTAAAAACTTCCCTAAACTTCAGATGTCTTCTAAAAGTCTAGATAGATGTTTATTTCCTTGACATCTGATGGGAGGGCGTTCCACAGGGTGGGTGCCACTACTGAGAAGGCCCTCTGCCTGGTTCCCTGTAACTTCATTTCCCGCAGTGTGGGAACCGGCAGAAGGCCCTTGGAGCTGGACCTCAGTGTCCGGGCTAAACAATGGGGGTGGAGACGCTCCTTCAGGTATAATATGACAATGGGACATCGAGAATAATGCAGCTACATACGAACATGACTCATCCCCCAAATATAATTATAAAGAAGTCTCTTACATATGTATCTTAAGTATGTATAGAAACTCAAAGAAAGGTGTGAGTTTGCTTTTGCCGGGTAATCTCAATTGTATTATGTCTAATATGAGACAGACAAACTCTCATCTCTGCACCAACACAAATAAGCACTTCTCTTTTCTGATCTTCCATATTTGTCTGAGTTGAAAATCCCTGTTCACAACAATATGTCACAGGGAACTGTATATGAATAGCCAATGCTCTTGGAAGAGGAGTGGATACTGTTTCTGCATGTATATCGAAGAAAATTTATTTTTATACTATACTACACTGAAATGTTGAAAAGGTTCTTTGAGTGTCCTTGAATCAGCCAAACTTTCCCACCCTCTCTGGCCACACCAGTGTGACACACCACACTCCTTGAGAACCACTGTCTTAAGGGAAAGACTCAGTGGCAGAGCTTCCCATTTGCATGCAGAAGGTCCTAGGTTCAATCCCCAGTATCCCCAGGTGGAAGAAGAGGGAGAAATCTGATTCAGTTTGATATAAATTTCCTAATTTTCTTTTCCCAAAACAATGTGAGGACCGAAACACAGCTCTCCTTCACAGTTCACACTTCTATGAATTTTGCAATGTCATCGCCCAGTTGCACTTTTTTTTAATGCATATCTTAGGGGAGAGTGTACATAAAAATGAATATGTTCATCAAAATAAAATAGAAAAATGCATTGTGTTTGTGGAAACCATTTGCAAAAATGTGTACGTGAGTCAGAGCTGCATACAAAAATGTGCTTATTAGGAGTTTTCACCACAATGCTGACAGATTCACATAAGGATATAAAAAAGGAACTGCTACAGAAATGTAGAGTGCTGAATTTAAGATTGGGGGGGGGGGGCGGGATGAGAAACCAAGAAAACCAAAATGGTCAGATCCACCCTTATCTCCAGGTGGGCCTGGGAATATCCCTTGCCTGAAACCCCGGGGAGCCACTGCCAGTCAACACCAAGTCTGCTTGATTAATGGTCTGTTCTGCCCAGTTTTGTCCATAACCCTTCTCTCCACTGATATGCGGCCCCTGGAAGGTTGCACAGCAGGGAATATGGCCCCTGCAGTGTAGAGAGTTGAGCTCTTGCCATGGAATGTTGTATTTACACGGCTTGTGAAGACTTGCCTCTTGCCGCAGAGTTCCCTTGCTCCCTGGACCCCGTACATTCCCACCCCCTGGAAATATACTTTGTAGGTCTGTTCTGTTTCTGTTAGCAAAAGGAGAGAGTGTTAACTTCATCAGGGCTTATGAGTCAACAAAGCACAGTGCCAGGGGAGTATTTGAGTTTTATCTGCATTTATTAGAAAGATGCCCGCCCCATCTTTCCATCTAAAACTTTGCAGGTGGCTAATGGCTGCAGCTCTGAAAGCAAGCAACTGGGCGAGGAGGGGAAGCTAAAATAATTCTGTTATTCCTTTTTAAAAACTTTTTTTAAAAAAGTGATACCAAAAAAGTAGCAGTAAAATATGAATAAAAAACTCAGTTGGCAGCAAGCAACTTTAGGGAGCCTGGGCTTTCGAAACTTTCGAACTAGAGAGGACTTGAATTGGCACCCAATGCTCATCAAACTATTTGCCATGTGTTGGTTGTAATTCCAAGAAGCTTTTCCTCCTGTTGTCACCTACCTCACCTCAGACATAGGAGGGCTTCTGAAGGTGATTTGAACCAGTTGGGAGCATCAACATAGGTTTCAAACAAACACTAGTTTGTTTAACCAGCCAACTTCAGAAACCATGGTTTGAAGAAACTGGCTAGTTTTACACTGGGGTGAAGAGCCTGCTTTTCAGCCTGAGGGTGTGATACATAAACACACTGTGTACAAGTATTCCTGCTGGTGCATGTAACACTAAACCATGGTTTATCATGACACATAAACTCAAGCACTGTGCAAGTATACAGCCTGCCACTTTACCCAATGCAGCTGTGGGATTATTTTTTGAACTCTGGAAAAGACCCTGTAAAACAACTAAACAAAAACAGAAGAATTAATTATTTCAGCTTGTACTGTGCATGAAAAGCCATTTCAAGAGATCACACTGTGTGTGGTCGCTGCATGTTTTTCCACCAGGATTTTACCAAAAGCATCCACAAGGTCTCTTTATATATAACAATCAGAAAATGCAGTATTAGCTCACAGAACGTTGTGAGTTGTTTGAAAAGGAAAAGTGGAAGATTAGGGCCAATTGGGGTTTGT